AGCGCGTGCGCTTTGCCGCCCGGCGCGGAGAGGGGCGGCGCGCGGGGCTTTGCCCCCGCTCCCTCGCCCACGCTTTGGCTTTGGCTTCGCCATTTAAAAGTGCTGTTAAACTCCGAGTCCCGATCAGAAGGTCGCTACTGCTAAATGGGATTTAATTGCACGCGGGGGTGGAGGTACAAACTGACGAATCTGAATAGTAAAACTTTGTTGGCAGCGACGTATGGCGCGGTTTAAAGTAAATTTTTATCGATCGTCCCGCAGCTGATGCGTTAACGGAATGGCAGGTTTGCTTTGAGTTTGATATTGATGTTGAGCTTTAATAATGTCACGCAGGAATAGTGTGGATTCTGATAGGAGGGATTTTTAATTTAAAAAAAAAAGTGTATTTTCTATTAGCTGCCTTTTTCACACAGAGAAGAATGTTTTATCTCAACTGTATGTCCTCCAGATCTAGGTTACATGTAATTGCTCTGTAATTGGTAGAACCATGTAAAAGCCATGGTATTTGCCAGTAAACCCTCTTAAGTTACCATGAAATTGAAGTGTGATATTTATTCTCTATAAAACTTGCTACCCAAATAACGTGTAAGATCAGGTTTTGTTTACTGCCGAGGCGTTTTTGCGATGGGTGATGCATGCCTCTGCGTGATTTTGCACCAGTATTACCGTTGGAGAGCTCTCTGGTGTGGGGGGTTGGTTCAGGTGGGGTTTTGCGTGGGAGGTTAAAAGGTTATTTGCTACAAGGGAAGATGCTTTAACGTCACTTGGGCTTCGGTTTCAGGATGGTTAAAGTTATCCCGAGGGCTAATTCAACGTGACTGAGATTTTGGAGGAGGCTGAGGAAGTTCTCGTTACGTTTTCACGGGGATAGCAGTTACACTTAGGCTCTCTTTTAAAACCTCTGGAGATAAAGTATTTGTAAGTGCACTGGGATGTTCCTGAGCTGGAAGTGCCCACAGTTCTTGCTGATCTTCAGTAAGAGTCACAGTGACTGCTGAGCTTACCGCGGGGAGGGTCGTCGCCGTAGGACACTGCGGTACCGGACCTCAGAGGAGCCCGTGGCGTACGG